AAGGAAAAATCATATTGGGAAAGAGTATTATGAACAGACAAAACCAAAATTGAGTTGTTTGGATGTAATTATAGAAATCATGTATGGAGGAAAGATGGCGACGCTTTCAAACAAAAGAACACAGTTCCAACAATGAAATTTGGTGATGACAGCATCATAGTTTGAGGATGTTTTTCTGCAAAAGGTATCAGTAATAGATGGTAGAATGAATGCCCCAGCATATCAAAATATTTTGGAAGCAAATTTAATGATTTTGGTTGAAAATCTTGAACTTCCTCCTGATTGGATCTTACGACAAGATAATTATCCGAAGCACACTGCAAAATCTATGAAGAAATGGCTTGCTAAAAATAATGTAAATATCCTGAAATGTCCAAGTCAGTCCCCAGATTTAAACCCAGTTGAGAATCTGTGGTGTTATTTGAAAATTCAAATCCAATTGAGAGCTCCAACAAACATCTCAGATCTGAAGACCATATATGAAAAAGAATGGAACAAAATACCAACTAAAATTTGCAAAATTCTTAATTGAGAATTAATTGAGAGGTTTGTTGCTGTAGAAGGGAATAAAGTAATAGGTTGGTTGCTTAATGAAAATTAATGAATAATTAATATTTCTAAAAATGAATTAAATGATTGTACAAATACTTTTCATCCATTAAATTGGATTTTTTTATTTGTATTAAATCAATTTTTTTTTCACCCATTAAAATGGATAAATGGGAGTTAATTATATGAAAATTAAATTTATTTTTAGTTGTTTTCTATGCATATTTTTATTATGCATCTCTTTCCCCAGTTAATTATATGAAAATATATGTTTATTCATTGTGTTGTGAAATACAATAAATTTGGTATATCTCATTGTGTAGTAGCAGTCAAAGCACAGTTCTCTGTGTTATGTTTAGGAACGGATCTGCTAAGCAATGCTCTATGTTCACCAGTTGTTCTCTATACTCGTGTATCTCATTTGCATATGATGCTAAACCTCCCTGAATTGGAGAGGTTGTATACCCTTGTTTTTTCTTTTACTATTCTTGATTATTCTTGTACTGTGCTGTCCTTCCTCTTGTCTTTCTTGTTTTCTTGGTCTCTCTTCATCTTCTTCACTCATGTCCGTCTTTTCATTCTCACTTTCTTCCATTTCCAGCTCTGTTTGACTTTTGTGACTGTCTCTTGTTCTTGATCTTCCATTACCACATCATCCAGTTCGTTTCTGCTTCTGAATTTGATCTGCATGTGCCAGTATATTTTGTCCCTTTTTCTCAACTATAGCTGTCTTTGGTCCTTTTTGTGTCAGAAAATTTGCTTCTTCTGGATCTGCCTCTATTGTCTGGGGCACTCCATTCCTTGAGAATATAGTTCTTAGTATTTGCTTTATTGTGGTTGCTTTTCTGTCCTTTACTCTGACAACCTCTGGCCATTCTGAATATGAGTCCACTAATACTAAGAAAAATCCCCTATCTTTGATATGTGTGTGATCTATTGGACCCTAACCCTTGGTTCTGCTTCCTTGGACCATAAGTGAATTTTTGCTTGCTTGAAGTTTTTTTTTTTATTTCTGCACACTTTGGGCATCTCTTAATGCATTCCTCTACACCATTTGAATATCCTGTAACTTTAGTCTTTTTTGCATTGATATTATGCCACAATTCATGTCATCATGTACTCCTTTTAATATGTCCCTCCTCAGTGAAGCTACAATTATATCCCCATTGCATATTATGCCATTTTCTATGGTTAGTTTGTGCTTCATTTCTTTAAAGGGTTGCTCTTCCATCAAATGATTGCTCCATACATTATTTTTATTCTCTTTACTATTCTGCTTAATATTGGGTCTTGCTTTGTTTCTATTTTGAGTCTATTGAAGAATGTCCATTTCTACCCAGCATTTTCCTGTTTTCATTCTTGAACTGTAACCTTGATACAGCATCTACATGAGGGATAGTGTTCCTTTTATGTATACTATGTCAAAATAGAATGCCATGATCTTTATCGCCGATCTTAAAATCCTTGATGATGTTACTTTTGGCAATTCTTTTCTTGTATGAAATATGAATCCCAATAGTTTGTGGTCCGATTTTAATAAGACTTTTTTCCTGTCAAAAAGTTTCATGCTCTATACAATCGCTAGTGCTTCTTTTTCAATATTCAAATAGTTAATCTCAGCTGATGTTAACCTTCTTGATATGTACATGATTGGGTGTTCTTCTTGTGATAGAATAGCAGCAATCGCCTTTTCACTCACGTCTGTGGTTAATGTTACTTCTTTTTGTGGATCAAAAACTTTTATTATTGGTTTGTTCCTCAGTATCTTCTTTAGTATTTCAAAAGTGATAGTTTGCTTTTGTGTCCAGTTAAAAATTCATTGTTTTTTTTTGCATAATTTTGCAAATGGCTCTATTATGTTGCTGTATCTTGGTATGTATCTACTATAAAACTTTATTATCCCTAAAAAGGATTCTAATTCTTTTTTTACTTGTTGGAGCAGCTATTTCTGCTATTTTCTTTGTTAATCTATCATCGGGTGATATGCCTTCTTTTGATATTTGTTACCTTAAATCTTCTTACATGCGTGCCTTTTCTAATCTCCCTAAAATTTGCTCTGTTTTATATTTTAATTCTTCTTTAGTTCTTGCCCCTACACATATATTGTCCTGGTATTTTTGCTAATTCACGGGTTGCAGTTTTGATATTTGGCAAAAGAAAAGAGTCTGAACATATCTGGTGATTTACCCCTAGCTTGTAATCACCACAAATCCTTAAATCGCCATCAGGTTTCTTTATTGCTACTATTGGTGATGCTCAATTGCTACCACCTTGAGTTACTCTTGTATCATTTTGTTTAATTTGGCTACTACAAAGTTAGGATATGAATTGGAACTTTTCTTGACTCTATATATTTTGGGTGATAATTTTCTTTTAGTCGAATGCTTGCTTTATAGCTTTTCAATAACCCTATTTCATTTTCTTCTGCTTCCATGGAATTGATTAGTCTTGCTGTATCTACTTTTAATACATCAATTCCTAGTAATCTGTTATCTTTTTCACATTCTACAACTATAATGAGAATTACTTCAAAACACTTTTTGCTTTCAAAATTGTCTTGAAACGTACCCATTATTTTTATAGTTGTTCCATCAAATTGCTTTAATTGGATTTGCTTTTTTTAAATTAGGTCATCCTAATTATATCCAGAATTTTTTTGGTATCAATATGACTTCAATGTCTGTATCAAATTGTATGTTAAGTATTTGGCCATTTATCCTTATTTTTTCTCTATTTCTTTTTTGCGTATTCATTGTAAATATTTCTGCTTCTTCTTTGGAGGGGGTTTGTACCTCTTGTACTCTTTTCATTTTCTTTTCGTATTTGCATATGTTCTAAAAATTATCTCTTATCTCTAAAACTTGGTTCTTTCAGCAATAACCAATCTTTTCTTTGGTCTTATGTTCTTTTTTATAATTTTAACAATTTCTTCAAATGTGATTTCTTCTAATTTTTTCAGGTAACACATTTTCGAAATTTTCTTCACAGCTTCACACCCAGCAGTAGCAAGAAAGAAATCCATTATCTCGTTCTCTTCTCCGTTGGCCTTTGTGTCTCTTAATTTTTTTCACTTTTGCAAATGCAGCAAAGGTTTTTATTCATGTTTCTATGTATTCTGCATTGTCCAGCAAATTCAACAATCCTATTGATGATGTCGTCATTATGTTTGGTATATCTCTCTGTGTAATAGCACAGTTCTCCGCGTTACGTATGATTAAAGCAATACCCTATGTTCACCAGTTGTTCTCTGTTTATACTCGTCTATCTCATTTGCATATGATACTACAATATATATATATATATATATATATATATATATGAAATGACAATTAAAAAAAATCATACATTTTAAAATTTTCGTCCACGACTTTTCAAGGCAAAAATGAAATCGAAATGTTTTATTTGTTGTTATAGTTACATTAAAATTCAAAAAAAAAAAATAATAATCCCTTACTATAAATTTACATTAACCAGAACAAAAGGCTTAGACACAAGCGTCTATCTTTTTATTTTTGAATTTTAATGTAACTATAACAACAAAAACATTTCCATTTCATTTTTGCCTTGAAAAAGTCGGAAGACGAAACGCATCGGCAAAATGTATGATTTTTTTCCAATTGTCATTTGATACCAATTTGTCATGTCCACAGAATTCATCTGGGAATTTAACTATATATTATATATATACCATTGTCCAAAAGTTTGTATTTTGTAGAATCACATAAAAATTGAAGGTTGCATGCCTTTTACAAAAGTAATTTACTAATCCATTTTGGACCAGAGTGACTTCTTCCTGAAGGGTTTTATGATATATTCAATAATAATAAAAGCATATTACTGCATGAATTTCCCTTAGAATTTTAGCTCTTTCTGCCTAATCAATCTTGTTGGCTAATCATAATAATAAGGTTGACAGATTTAAAATTTTAGGTAACCCACTCTAAAAATTTGACACCATACCCTAATGGGTTAAACAGTTTCAGCACCCTAGCTTCTTAGTAGTAGTTAATTAAACCAAAGATGGTATGAAACTTACTAATTATTAAATCCAGACAGTACTCCTAAACATTTTTATAAAAATGTACACACACACACACACACACACACACACACACACACACACACACACATCTATCTATCTATCTATCTATCTATCTATCTATCTATCTCTCTCTCTCTCTCTCTATATATATATATATATATATATATATATATAAAAATATATATATATAAAATCAACATTTGTGTTTAAAGACTTTTAAATGCATGTAACATAAACAAAAGAAAAAAAAATTAGAGGTATTGTATAAAGACAGATTAACCTTAATTTACATGTGATTAATGTATAATTTAATAATTTAAAAGCTGTTACTTTAAAATTAGAAACTATGTGATTATTTTGGAGATACAATAAATTTGTCCACTTAAAGATGTTCATGAAAAATACTTACATTTTTCTCGTTTTTCCATTTTTGATGGTTTTAAAAATAATTCTGTTTGTCCATCATCTTCGTCAGTGTCCAACCAACGATGACAAGCAAAGATATAATATTCTCCTTTTGAAGGAATGTCAATTTTGACTTTATCAAGAAACCAACCAGCACCAGGAAAACTATTGTCATGACCTATTTTGATCTTTTTGATCTATAGAAAAAAAATATTTTCATTTAAAACAATTTACTTGTAATTTCAAAAAGATAGAATTTCCTAGCGTATTTTCTATCATTTTCAAATTTCTTTAACACAATTTTTTTCATTCATTGTCTTCAGCTCTAATATTAATATTTCTTTCTATAATGCTTTATTTATGACTTTATCTTAAATATTGTGGCATATCTTCCTCACCTAACAAAATATCTGCTGAAATAGGATTCCACTCATTTAATCACATAAATTTGCCTGTTTCTTTAATTGTCAGCAACTCTTTGTATTTTTATCTTCATACATTTTTAATTATCTCTTTCTATAGTTTACTTTCATCACAGATTTTATCATTTTTAAAACAATCATGAAGGAAAAATATTTTTTGTGTGCTGTTTGTTTTTTGGAAGTATTTCATAACTGCTAATTGCTTACCTCACCAATGTCTGCAGCATTAATCTTAAACATATCAATATGTCCTCGTTCAAATTTATTGGTATGGTTTTCAGCAGTAGTCAAGTTGAATATTTCTGTGTCATCTTTGATGCCAAAGATTTTGATGAACACATTGGCATCAGTCCCGGCACCTCTAACATCTCCAGTCTTAATCTGAATATTGTACGTAGTTGCTGCAAAAGTAAATAATAAACTGATTGTTTATTCTGTGTAATATCACATGTATAATATAAATAGAACAGTTTTATCAGCTTTTATCAGTCTTGAAATACTGGAAAAGCTCATGAAGACAACCACGTCAGTTATGTTTACAAGAACATCAGGAGCAGATTGTATCAGGATCCATGAAGAATAGCATAAATGTCTGTAGGTGTGATCTTTGTCTACAGAACTCAAGTGCTCTTGTGCCACTAATCTGAGTTCAATCAGTGGCTATAATTGGCAGCAAAAGTCTTAATGAAACTTTTGAACTAGTCCTACCTCTTATTCCCAACTACAACTTCATCAACTTCTTCTTTCGTGTTAATTCCAGAAATCCTTCCTATATACATCAAGGATATGTTGAATTTCCAATCACCAGTCATTTTAGGTTTAGACTTATCTAAGTCCAAACAAATTATGCATCAAAACTTATTGATCAAATCAAGTTTGGCAGAAATTCACAAAACATTTTGACATACAAAAGAATGTTATTACTCTCCTAATACTACTCAGTCTAAATAAAGACCAAGTATGATATTACAATCACCCTGTAAAACTACCCATCTTGACAATGTTATAATGAGAAAGAGCTAGGGAAGAAATATTTATTCTCCCATTTGCATTTCTCCTGTTGTCAGCATTATTATATCCATGATATTGTGGAATAATCCATGTTACCTTTTCACCCCTTTGCAGAGCAATCCATTCTTACACCCACACACCTGTTATCCAATCAAAACACTAGTTCTGACAAATTCAATTTCTCATTGGTTAACAGCCTTAAAAAACTAAGTATGCACGTGAAAAATGCCTTTGGCTCTCAAATGTGTTTTTCCTTTCCAGAACCTATAAAAGAAAGAAATTCGAACCAACTTACCAGTCAGAATTCCACACTCAGAGAGATGCCAACCAATTCCACACCAGTTTAAACTTTGACTTTCCCGCGCAAATTAACCTCTGACTCAACAACCTTTTGGCATACTCAATCTCTCTTTTAAACAAACTTCTCAAAAATTCATTTACTTTACTTGAGAAAGTGAAATATATATTTGCTACATATTAGTAACAAACAAAACTTTTAACAATTAACAGTTCAAAGGTATGCAACTTCGTACAACTTAAGAATATTTTACATAACACTCGTATACACACACTAACATTTGAACTGTAAAATCGAACACTTTTGTATGTTGAACAGCAAACTGTTTAATTCTTACAACAAATCATCAAAACACTGATTTAAGCATTCAAACATAGTCAACAACAAACTACATGTCTTATTACATCAATATACAACAAACCACCAATTCATAACTCATCTGTATATATTTAAATTATATATAAATTACTGTATTGTTGTGTATTTTACTTGTCTTTGTTTTTAACTCTGCTTTGCATGACCTGTTCTAAATATTCATTTATTATTTGTTGTAGATGAATGTTAACGAACCCGATACGTAAAAAATTCCTTCTGATTTAACCAAATACATTCACTAATCCCCAACAATATAATAACCCCACTTTCATGGACAAAATGACTGAAAGGAAAAGGAATGACAAACATGCTTTGTTCTCAGAGAGACTTATATTACTAAGATATACACAAAACTCTCTCTCTCTCTCTCTCTATATATATATATATATATATATACACACACACACACACACACACACACACACACACAGTGTCCCATGTGAAGAAGAAATATATCACATACATCTACATAAAGCAGAGTGTAAGGAGAAACAAAAAGGAAAGGTCTTATATATAATATGGAGATATTCTTGTGTTTGGAGAAGCCATGTTTAGGACTCCAGATTCAAATGGGTTGGATTCATCTACTATGTCCCAGGCAAGGACATATTTCACAAAGAGGAAACAGTGAGTCTTAAATTTGCCCATATTGAGGACTGCAAACTGGAGTTTCTTCCCATATCTGGGAAAGATATATTCCCAAAAGGAAACAGCACCATAGACCCATAGGCTACTGGGCAAGGCAGATTTAGCCTCTGCCTGGGCCATTGCTGAGCTAAAGGAAACAACCTTTTTGGTTTAGCTACAGTAAATCAACTGAAATTGACTGCAGTTTTCATCACTGTCACTAAGCATCTGTCATGTGACTCACGTGACTTATCTCCACAAAAGGAAGATAATCACCTTCTGTATCCCTACAATGTCATTCACTGAAAAACGGCTTTCTATTACCTGCTGTCATTGGGCACATAAACTCCAATGAAACAAAATTTCCTTTATGGTAACATCCAGCATGCACAATCTGTGTGCTGGATCTGCAAAGACAAGCAAACATGTTGTTTTCAAAGAGTGGCTTACTAGCCAAAAACACCTAAATAATTATCAAAATATGCTGAGAAGAGGTGAAACTGCTTTGACAGTACATTACTCACAATAAGATAGGTCTTTGTATACAACAGAGATCCATTATCAGTTTACTCTAAGAGTGATGACACTAATGTCCTTGAGAAGGTTAACTTTATTGAAGGAAGGGAGTTTCACAGAACAATACCATTCTAATTTTTTTTTGAAAGGTTGCTGCAGGGGCAACATGATTCAAATCTGTTGTGTGCTTGGACTCACTTGAGGAAAATTTGGGGATTTCTCCACACTATTATGACCTGGCTCCACCATTGTGAACTTGTGAAGCACTCTCCAAATTATAGTTGCATGTTCCTCCTTTCTAACATTACTGGGTCCACACAACATATATCTTCTGTAGACTAAGTTATTCGGACTGTTGTCCTCATCTTTGTTGCCATATTTATCATAGCGTTTCAGCCATTGTACACTCTGAACTTCTTCAGGTGGTTGGAATGTCAAACTGAACCCTGTTTACTGTTCTAGTTCCATGTACCATGTCTAATGGATGTTAGTTTTCTCCTGTTAATTCACCACTCCAATTTCTCCAATGCCTTAACCAGGTATTGAACTCATAACTCTTTTGGTCCTGTCACTGGATCTAACCAATGCCTTTATCCACTGTGCCATGTGTCCTTAAGGACATCTGTGTATGGATTTCTGAGACTTATAAACTTAATGTCTTCAGCAACCATTTTTATCAGTGTTCATATTGCAATTCTTGTTGTTATCATTGCATGTGCTTGGTCAGCTCAGGAGATTTTTGTGGCCTAGCATATGTGCTGATTCCTTAAGTTTACGATGTAGTCAAGGCTCACCAAGTACAAAAATTAAATAGATTGAAAGATCCGAAGGTGATGCACAAGGTCCATCACCCACCAGTGAAAGCAGTAATCAACATCAGCCAATATCAGCTGAGTGCCTCTGTGGAGTCAGTATTAAATAAGGGTCTCAACTTCGACACAGCCATCAGGCAAGTATCATACTTGGACATCATTGCCAGAATCAAGGAAGTGGCTTGGAACTTTGCTCAGGCTCAGGCAGATGAACTAAGATGGAAGGTGAGACAGACTTTGGAGGAAGCCAAGCCATCCAAGTCAAACATCACGAAACTGGAGAGGCTGGCAATCAGATTCCTACAGAGGAATGAAAACGTCATCATACAAAGGCAACTGTAGTGATGGACAAATCTGATTATACAGGAAAGCTGAATGACCTCATTAGAAATGGTAGCTACAGCAAAGTAAAAAAGGATCCTTCAATTAAAACCGAACACAAACTGTCACAGATACTAATCAAGAACAAGGATCACTTTGCACCTAAGACGTATAGGCAGTTGTCGCAGTGTTACACCAAGCTACCTCACATATACTGTCTCCCTAAGATTCACAAAGATGGTATTCCACTCAGGCTGATTGTTAGTTGCCAAGGCTCTGTGTGCCACCCTCGCTTCCTTGTAGGTATAATTGACCCATTGATTCATATGTCCGAAACTCTGCCCACTTTGTGGAAATAATCAAAGATGCCCCCATCTTATCCAACTAGATGGTGAGCTTGGACGTGGTGAGTTTGTTCACCAAGGTACCCATGGAGGAGGCACTCTCAGTAGTCAGAGACAGATTGGCCTCTGACTCATCTCTAGGAGAACGGACCAGTATTCCAATAGATAATCTGATGGAAATGTTGACTTTCTGTACACAAACAACACATATATATATATTGACAGGATGAGAGCTCACCATTATCACCAGCAATGGTGAATATATACATGGAATACTTTGAGGAAATGGCATTAGAATCTCTAAGGCCAACTATATGTACAGAAAGATGTCCAGGTTCTACTAGACTATGTGAACTCAATAAGACCTTTGATACAGTTCACAATGGAGAAAGAGAGTAACAGCACACTCCTATTCCTGGATGTTCTAATATCTCAAATAGAGCATGGGTTCAAGACATCCATATACTGTAAACTGACATTCACCAGACAGTATCTCAATTTCAACTCCCACCATCCATACAGTGTAAAGAAAGGAATTGTCTGCTGCTTACAACACTGAGCAAAAGTCATAAGTGGTGAACCAGATAAAGAATTGGTCCATATAAGTAGTACCCTATAAATGTAACAACTACCCAGGGTACATAGCAGCAGCCCCAATAAACTGGGATAGGCGGGTACAAGAGGAGTATAATAACACTCAGAAAACAGTCTGCCTGCCCAATGTGAAGGGGTTATTAGAAAAGTTACAAAGGATCTGTGGTCCATATAACATCAGGGAAACCTTCAAAAGCTGGACAACACTTTGCAGATATCTCTCCTGAGTAAGACCCCCTCATAGAGGAGAACATGACTAAAGACTGTGTATACGCCATCCCCTGCTGCTGTGGAAAGAAATATAAAGGGGAGACAGGCTGCACCCTTAAGGTAAGGTTTCAAGAACACCAGAAAGCTGTAACACAAGGGGAAGTGGAAAAATCAGGCGTGGCTGACCACATATGGAGAGAAAAGGGAGATAACCACCCTCTGTGGGATCAGGTTGAAATTATAGAACATCATTGGAAAATTCATAAACTTAAGGAATCAGCGCACATATGCTA